AACGGCGCTACAGTAGCAGATATAATATTAAACTTATCACACAGCACAATTGCAACAACAATAAATATTGCAGATTTAGTTAATCAGATAACAGCAGGAAATGCACAAAGTAGCGGTAGCAATTCATCAAATGAAGCTATTAGTGTTCATAGTTCTCCACCTATTACTGTTCATAGTTCTTCATCTGAAAGTCCAACAGAAATACCAGCACCAACTGAAGACGAAGAAGAAGAAGAAAACCAACATTTCAATTTTGAAAAATTAAAATCTAAATAATATTATATATAATGGGTTCAAGTAAATCAAAACCAGTAGAAATTGATGATGAAGAGGCTATTAAAGTAATAAAAGATATAGATGTAAATACGATAAGTGAAATGTCAAGAATTGATATTCTACAAATAAATTCATTGAAAGCAATAATCAATAAATTAGAAAAAGTTAATGAATGTAAAAAGGATAAAATATATTATAAATTACCTGCTCTCAACCTTTGTAGCTATTCATTATTTTGAATTAATAATATTAAAACATAATTAATATTATTAATTGCTTATACAACTTCTTTCACTTTTTGGCGTTGATGTTGAAACAGTGCTATTTGTTTCATCTATTAAATCGTCGCGAAGCTCGCGAGCCTCTGGCGAAGCGTCTTCATCAACAAAATTATTTTGAAATCTTAATAATTCCTCGTCCGTTGCCCTCCTCTTCAATGCCTTATAAAGTTTATGTATCCAAGAATTAGTATGAAAATTATAATTACCTCTACGATACAATCCACCGCATTTACATTGCTTTATAACCATATTATTATATTATATTAAATCAGAATATCTTTATTCATCATTTGTAATTTGAAATGCCTGTTCAAAATTGATATGAAACATGTTGTTAATGTCTTTTGAATTCATATTCACGTAGAAAAAAGAATATGGAGCAAAATTAACGGCTTGATGATACATATCTAATAATTGCTGTTTATCAACAATGGCGCTATTTTCTTCAATAAAACTCATTAGCTCACTGGCATTTTTCAACCTAAAAATATATAATGAACTGGCATTCAAACGAATGATAGGCGCTAAAACATTGTATTTTTGTGTTGAACAAATCACACTTACTGCATCGTGCCTGCCTCTTGTAAATAATCCATGTAATAATTTACTATATCTAACAAATTTAGGGTCGTCTGCGTGGTCATCTATAACGATTAATATTGAATGCAGTTTCTTTATCTTTTTAGATTTCATATAATTAATTATTTTCTTCTGTCTTTCAATTACATTTTCTAAATCACTTGGATTATAATTATCAAAATAAATTTGTTCTTTTTCATCATCTACGTGCAATTCGTCCCTGATATATTTTTTAACTTCTGTAAATGTAGGGTCGTTATGGACGCTGGGTGAAAATATAAATATTCTTGCGAATGAATTTCTATAAACATTCAATATTAAATTTTGAATAAGGACAGTCTTCCCGCCCGTTGAACTCGCGACTATAATACTTCTAAATGGTAATTTTGGCACGTGCTCATATTTAGATTGTTTGAATTCATATTCAGTTATGTTTATTGGTTTTATTATTGGAACATCTGTCATATAGTTGATATTAAAGAAATATAGAAAATTATATTTAAAAATTAACTTGTAATTATTATTAAATGGAACATCATTTTTATGATATGCTGGTGGCGAATATCATAAAATGGAACAGGTTTTCCATTGCTACAATCAATAAGCATTGAAGCTAATTAGTTTGTATCTCTCTCGCGTGTGCAATGAAAACCCCAAGTGCTGTGCCCCACCAATATTCTATTATGCATGAAAATAATAAAATTAAATAATTTAAATAATTATTTTATCTTATTATTATATGACTGTTATCCATTGCAATTGTTGTAAAACTTATGATAGCAAATATTCATTTAAACATCTAAATTCAAAACATCATCAGAAATTTGTAGAATATAGATGGAATAAAGACGATACAATGAAAAAACTTTACAAGAAAAGAAAGACAGAAATGAAAAATAATTTATCTTATTATTTAATATGAAAAGGAGTTATACAGATTATATTAATATAATAGATGAAATGGAGAATATAGAACAAGTACTAATAACTGATAATAGATGTAAAAAATATGTTATTTTATTTTAGAATTAATTAAGTTTTTGATACAATATATTAAAAATATAAATATTAATATAAATGCCAAAAAAGAAAAACAAAAAGAATAAGACAGGTTTAAGTGTTTCATCAACTGATGAAGAAATTGTTAAAGAAACATCAGTTATTGAGGTTGTTTGTCCTACATGCAAAAGAATGTTAGAACTTAAGAATGAATTACAAATAAAAAATAATAAAAGTTGTAAATGTTCATGTATTCCAACAAGTTTCAAAATAAGTAAAAATGATAAGAAAATGAATATTGATAAAACTAAAGACAGTATCAACTTAGAAACTGATGTCCATAGTATAACTTTTAAATTTGGTAGGCAAGCAACACCAACCGATAATAATGAAAACGAAACACAGGAAACTGTTAAACAAATGATGAAAAATTAGTATTTAAAGAGTAGATTCAACATAATTGCACTTTATAAATATATAACTAAATAAATAATTATCTAAATAAATATATAGTAATGTCTGAACATGAAAATTATACTATTAATGATTTAATGAAGAAGATAACATTAATTGGTAAAAATATCAAAAACTTAAATGATATGATTAAATCCATTGATGAAAAACTTAAACCAGTTGAACGCGAACAACAAAGCAACGAAGAGAAGGAGAAAATCGATAAGATATTTCAAGCAAAATCTATAGGTAGACCCAGTGGCGATTACCCTACAAAGCAAAAGAAATACTGCGATATGTTGAATACAGGAAAAATCAAACAACCAAAGCAACAAACATTAGAGTTTTATAAAATTACAAAACATGATGATGGAGTATATGTATTATTTGAATAATTAATATCTAAATAATTCTAATAAATGAATTTATTAGAATTATTTAGCGGAACAAAAAGCGTCGGAACCATAGCAAAGTCGCTTGGATTTAATGTAATATCATTAGACTTGAAAAATGCTGATATCAACACTGATATTTTGGAGTGGGATTACAAACAGTTTGACAGAAACCATTTTGATTTTATTTGGAGTAGTCCCCCATGCACTGAATATAGTGTAGCAAAAACTAGGGGAATTAGGAATATCGAATATGCAAATAGTATTGTCTTAAAAACTATTGAGATTATCAAATATTTCAATCCTAAATATTTTGTAATCGAAAATCCACAAACTGGATTATTAAAACATCAGGAGTTTATGGATGAGTTTGATTTTAAAGATGTTGATTACTGTAAGTATGGATTTAATTACAGAAAACGCACTAGGCTCTGGTGCACATCCATTGGTTTGCCGACCATTGCCCAAGACACAGTAAAAATCTTAGGGCGATTAATCATGGAGGGAATTTCCAAAAAATCGAGGCACGATTATTCAAAAATCGGCTCATGAATTTTAGGGGCTGTGTATTTTCATTCCGAAAATCATGTGTTGATTAATCAAGGGTGGATTAAGCATGTGTTTATTAATCATGGGCTGGTAGCTCATTGCAATGTCGTGTGCAAACATAATCAATATGAATTTTAACGATTACACCCATACTATAATAATAACATTTATACCCTTATATGTTATAGTTATATTTCAATATTTAATTTTATTTCTTGTAAAAAGTATTTAAAGAAATAACAACTATATATATATTATAGTAAATATGGGATGGACTTGAACATCAAGAGAAACTAAGAATTGTGGATGCGTGGAAGAAACACACGTTCATGATGATTTTCCGACAAGTGATACAAGTTTAATATTATGCAAGGAATGTAAAACTAAAGAGGTAGAAGAAGAGAAAAAAAGGGAAGAAGAAAAAAACAACATATACAATAAGTTTATTCAGGCAATAAATAATATAGAAACTAAATTAGTTCCGCGAAAAGAAGTATATCCAATTATGTCTACCTATCGTTTTCGGTTTAAGCGTTCAACATTCTCAGTATTCAACTATCAGTTATTGAATCATATATTTAAATACCAGAAAATCAGGAATCGTTATTACATAAATATTAATGCTGTGCAATTATTTTACGAGCATGAGCTTGATAAATATTATTACTTGAATATAAGATAGATTATAACCATACTATAATAATAACATTTATACCCTTATATGTTATAATTTTTAATGTAAGTATAGCGTTTTATATATTGAAGATAAAATCCTACAAGGGACACGCGAGCGTTAGCGAAGCTCGCAAGCTATGCGACCACGCCCAAACAAATATATGATGAAACTGATGAAACGAAGGAGGGAGTGATGTTGTTGCTGTTCTATTTTTTGTCCGGGAAATGGACAAATCGTTTTTAGACAGTTCGAATATTTTTTTGATGACAAATATTTTTTGCAATATATTTTGCAAAATTTATTTTTTTGAAATGGATGAGGCGAGGAGATTGAGGAAATGACATTTTGGAGGGTAGTTGGTGAAACGAATGAGGCGAGGAGAAAGGAGAAAAGGATGGCGAAAATTTTGGAAAAATGATGATAAAAAACGGATGAGATGGACAGAAAGGAATGTAGAAAAATGATGAAAACAAATAAGGGTAGAAGATGGAAGATGAAAAAAAATGTAGGGTGGGGGGTATGTATGAAGCAATTTATTTGCGGGGCAAGGCCCTCGACTACTACATTGCCCACATTTGCGCGATATTTCCACAATGTTTCCTTACATGTCCCTGTATTTCCTTAACATTCTCTATATTTGCACTATATACAACGTATTTACTATTTCACTACTACATCTTCACTGTATTTCCATGTATATATCCCTATATTTCCACTATAATTCCCTGTATCTCCAAATGTGGCCGCTGTGAATCATGTCTCTTTCCTCTGAAGTCTTCTCATATGCAGCGGCAGGTCTTTGGCACCATGGGCCCGCGTCCGGGCGACAGTTTGCGGCTGTCCTGCGAGATGCTGAGGTGCAGCAGTAGGTGTTGGGTTCATTTGAGGCTCGGTCCCCCTTTTTTTGGAAACCAACAGGGGGTCCCCCTAAAAAGCAGGCACACCCATTTGAGGTTTGGGCAACAAGGAATCCCATTCTGTGGTCCGTTAGATTCCTGTTTGGGGTAGACCATGATCATGGCTCATTTGAGGTTTGGGTAAAACAACCGCCAGGCATCCATGTGGCAGATGCTTTCCGCCATTTGCAGAATGGATAGGGAGTGAGGCTTCTCACGGAACGATGACCATGACCAACAGACTGGGCAGATCAAAATGGAGGGTTGGCTGATCCAAATGAATAATCCCTTGTGGCAAAGGACCCCCTTCGTCACGCAAAGGAAGGAGAAGGGATTGCCGAAAGGGCGTGTCCTTTTTCGAGGGTACCATTTTCGTGTGCTTAACCCACCATTGGGGGTCCCCCAGAAAGGAAACGCCCACAGGCATGCTCCAATCTGACAGGAGCACCATCGGAATCTTCCGCAAGACCAATCCAACGTTGCCGGAGGATGACTTTGAGGCCGCGGCTGCGGCATGCGTCGAAAGAGCGAAATGGACCGAGCAAGGGCAGGTGACAAACCAGTTTTTTCTTTCCTTTACGTTTCCCTTAAAATCATCCCCCCCAAAACGGGTGTGCTTGGAAAAACGGGCCACCCCGTTTTGCTTTTCTCCAAATGGTGGGACACCCCAAAATGGGAGGTGTTCGTTTGGTTTCCCTTCTACACCTTCCTTCGTTTGGTTTGAGAAGATTCTTCCGGAAGACAGTACGAATCAGGGCCGGTTTCCCGTTGCGTAAGGAAATGATCAATTTTCGGGGGAGACCTTGGATTTACTCAAAGGTTGCATTAATGCACTTCTTTTCCCCACTGCGCAAGCACGAGGCACTGAGACACCTTTCGCCATCTCGGCGCATGGACCTGCTCCAGCAGGCCATTCCCCGTGTTCTGATTCGGTTTTGCGCGACCCAAATGCAGGTGGCTCGTCCTTCTTGCATCAAACCCCCTTGTGGTTGGTTTTCAAAGGGGAGAACGGGCAAAACCAACCATGTCAGGTTCGGAAATTGAGGTCCCCTTCTAGTTATGAGTTATGGGAGTGTCTTTTTGTAGGGGATCCTCAAACATGGCTTCGGTTTTCCTTTTTGGATTTCCTTTGGAAACCACCAAGAATGAGTATTCTCACAAAAGGACAACCCAGATAGTGGTTTGGATTGTGGTTTGTGGGATTGAAACTATGGTTGCTGTTGAGGGTAGATGGGAAGCTACCCGCAAAGCTCCAAACCACCAATTAGAGAGAAGCTGACGATCCGTGTTTCGCGACCCGAAAATCAGTTGGGTCCCTCAATTGTCCTTTGACCTCCAGAAGTGTTCAATTTTTTCTGCACCCACCAGTAAACAGCAAGACAAGGGGGACACCAGTGACCCAAGTAAAGTGCATGGTTAGGGGAACCCCCAACAAGGGTTTCCTTAAACCAACCCTAAACAGGGTACCGTGGTACCATCAAACTTTAGAGTCTCCGGCTTACTCCGCTGACATTGACCTCTCCCTTTTCTCCTTCTTCCTCTTTCTCTCATTCCCCACTTTCCCCTTTTTCCCTCGTCCTCTCTCCCTCTCTCTCTCTCCTCCCCATCCTCACTCTCTCTCTCTCTCTACCTCCTCTCTATGCCTCTCTCTCCCTCTCTCTCTCCCTCTCTCTCTCTCTCTGTCTCTCTCTGTCCCTCTCTCTCTCTCTCTGTCTCTCTTTGTCCCTCTCTATCTCTCTCTCTCTCCCTCTCCCTCTCTGTCCCTCTCTCTCGCTCTCCCTTTCTTTCTCTCACTCCTCTCTCTCTCTCTCTCTTTCTCTTTTCTCTCTCTGTCTCTCTCTGTCTCTCTTTGTCTGTCTGTGTCTCTCTTGTCTCTCTCTCTCTCTCTCTCTGTCTGTCTGTGTCTCTCTCTGTCTCTGTCTGTCTCTGTCTGTCTCTCTCTCTCTCTCCCTCTCGGTCTTTCTCTGTCCCTTTCCCTCTCTCTCTCTCTCTCTCTCCCCCTCCTCTCTCTCCCTCCCTCTCTCTCTCTCTCTCTCTCTCTCTCTGTTTCTCTCTCTGTCTCTCTCTCTCTCTCTCTCTCTCTCTGCGTCTCTCTCTCTCTCTCTCTCTGTCTCTCTCTCTCTCTCTGTCTTTCTCTCTGTCTCTCTCTCTCTGTCTCTCTCTCTCTCTCTGTCTCTGTCTCTCTCTCTCTCTCTCTTTGTCGCTCTCTCTCTCTCTCTCTTCCCCTCTCTCTCTCTCTCTGTTTTTCTCTCTGTCTCTTGCTCTCTCTCTCTCTCTGTCTCTGTCTCTCTGTGTCTCTGTCTCTCTGTCTCTCTGTCTCTCTGTCTCTCTCTCTCTCTCTCTCTGTCTCTCTCTCTCTTTATTTCCTTTTCTTTCTCTCGCCCTCTCTCTCTCTCTCTGTATCTCTCTCTCTCTCTCAGTTTGTACTGCAGCGTCATGTCCCCCCTGAATTTCCTCGATTTCTGTGCACTGCGCCGTCAAGACCCCTGAATTGTCTTCTTACTACTGGCTTTCCCTTTCTTGATTTCCCCGTCATGTCCTTTTCATGTCCCGTCATTTTCTCGGTATGTCCGCTTCATTTTCCATGTATGTCCTTTCATTGCCAGTCATTTCTCTACATCTCCCTTCGTGTCCTCTGATTTCCTCGTCCTTTGGTTCCCCCTTCACTCCCGCTGCATTTCTCACTCCTTTCCCCTTAATTCTCTTTTAATTTCCATTCGTTTCCCTGTCATGCCCCCTTGCTTTGCTGTCATTTCCCTTTATTTCCCGTTCATGCCCCTTCATTCATTTTCCCTGCACTTCCCTTGCATTTCTCCTTCGTTTCCGAGCATTTTTCAACAACACAGAGTTTTTCAAGGTTTTCGGCAAAAGGAGGCGGAAAACCCGAGCCAGCAAAGAGGATTCGAGCCCGGGATCCCTGTTTAGTGGTGCCGCGTAGTACGTGGGGGCCAGGGGGGGCGGCTGTCCTCTGCCCTCTCTTAGGTGCCCGTCGGCGGACATACACCTACTGCTTTGAACCCCGGGTCCCCCACACGGGTCAATTCAATGAACGCTTGTCATACACCGTTTTCTCGTTTTTTCCTCGGCTGCCACTTTCGCATCTTTTGTTGGACCCTTTTGTTGACTGCCAGTTCTGAGCCGTTTTTTTGGCAATAGGGGCAGAGGACAGCCCCAATGGGTGCACCGCCATGGGTTTTGGGACCCCTCCAGTGCGAGGTGTCGATCGTGACTCACTTGACCTCTCTTGAAAACGAATGGATCCCAGTTTTATTTGGATGGTTTTCCCCGAAACCATCAAAAAAGGGTCACTCCTCCAGGAAAGACGCACCCATGGGGCTCGCCATCGAAATCTCCTTCAGGCTTCCAGGGCCCCGGAAATTTGCTGACTCCGCAAAAAACACGACGCGCCCCTTTCCCCGTGGCGTTTTTCAGCCGTCCGCTCCGTGGCGATCGAAGGCGCTGGGGAAAAACGCCGCGGCCTCGGAGCTGACCATGGAGAAGGCCGGCGAGGTGCTGTCCCTCACCGTGGAGGCGGGCTGGTGATGAGGCGTCGAGACGTTCCGGAAAAGGGTGGGGCAAACTTGTGTCTTCCTATGTTCACGAAAAGAACAGCACTCTCCAAGGGTAATGTCCAGACATTATGATTCGGTATGATTCATGATGTCCGTTGAAAACGATGGGCCATGCCTTAACTTTCGGATGATTGGGCAAGTTGAACCTGGGAGGTGGAGTGTGTGTTTTTTGCTGGGTACTGTTTGGTTTGGGACGGTTCAGGGAAACCCAAAGCCGAAGGCATTTGGGGGTGCGATCCCTTCAAACCTCCAGGTGGTGGTGGAGCTGCTGTCGCAGTTTACCAAGTCGAATGCGGCCGGGAGCCCATGAACGATCCGAATTTTGCCGGTGCCGGAGGGGCCGATGGCGGGTGGAATCGCACTAAGCGACGTGAACGGGGTCCCAAAAGACGAGTTGTCATCATTTGGGGCACCGTAGGCACTAACTGACCGGTCGTTTGCACCATGAGAGGTTGATTTCGTGGCTGCGCCACAGGAATTGGGGCTCCTTTTGAGGGGATCGCGAGCAGTACAAGTGAAACATGACACTTTTAAACCATTGGGCGAACAATTCAGTTTATGAGCGCAACATCATTCTTACGAGCGCAAGATGATGCTTCTGCAATTGCAAATGACACGGTTGTCGTTTGTTGAAACTGCGAAACAACTCGTCTGTGTAAATCCCTCTTATTTGTTTGGACTTCAGCTGTGTGTTCCCTTGAACGACGAACGTAATCAATCTCTTACTTCAGTTGGGGTTCCCTTGAATGAGGCGCATAACCATTCTTGCGCCATGGGGTGCTTTCAACTGCGGGTTACCTTGAACGATAAACGGAATCATTTGTGGGCCACAGGGTGTACTTCTATGGGGTGTACTTCAATTGTTGGTTCCCTTGAATTGAAGGAAGAATCCAATCATTTTGGGCCAGATGGTGCTTTTTCCTTCAATTGAGGGTTCCCTTGAACAAGGAACGTAATTATTTTGGTGTGTACTTTCAGTTGAGTCTTCAGGGTATCAAGAGCCAAACAAGTGCATGTCCGACCACAATCGCTTAAGATCTCGGTACGAGTGGACCCGTGGTTCTACTACCTGGTTTTATGGTGGTCATAGCAATGTGAATATGAGCCATGATTCTGCCTATTTGATGGCGGGCTCGCCCGGGAGAACAGGCTCACTCACCATGAAGATGCGGATCCCTTCTTTCAGGTTTTGCAGATTGCACTTCGGAAGATGGGGCTAGGTTTTGCTGATCATGCAGTTCGAGTACGGCACGAGCCTTTTCCCTGACAAGCTCTCCGATCAGGATATTTTCTGGCAGGCAGGTGAGAGGGCTGCATTTGCATGGATCTAGGGATTAAGCGTGCGATTTGCGCGTCGCACCGGCAACCAGTGGATATTTGCTTTTTTCTTATTTTTCTCCCTTTCTTTTCTTCTTCTTCTTCTTCTTTCCCTATATATATAATAGTACTTTTTTTTTAAACATATTTAATTTTGTTGCTTTTTTGAGAGGGTAAAAGGAAACAAATGGCAACACCGAAGCCATCCTAGAAGCTCGCAAATTCTGGCGCATGCCCATTGGATAGACCGTGAACACCGTCTACAACAGTTTCATCAAGACGCAGCCGCCGGATGGGAAGCCACGTGTGGCTGAGCGGCAGGCAGAGAGACTGGGTGTGACGCGGAGGTGCCTTTTGAGGCGAAGGGTCGCTTTGTTCACCTTCGTTGAAAGAGAAAGCAAAGGAAAACCACCAAGAGGGACAGACAGAGCGACTTGTTTCACCATGGTTTAAAGGGAGACCAAAAGGAACACCACCATTTTCAGGATCTCGCTTGGTTGCGACATACCCACTGCGGCAGACACCTCATGCAGATCGAGTGTATGCTGAGGTCATGATGCTGATATGCAGACATGCTCGAGACGATCATCCAGCCGCGTCTTGCTCAGTCTCGTGGAGTGTGAGAGGCCTATGGCTTTTCTTTGTAGATGGCCAAAAGGGTTTCATGTGTTCCATTCCAACTGGTTCCTGGTATGGAGTTTGTCCATCCACAGAAGGGGGGTCGCCCGCGTCGCGTCTCAAGATTCGATGCAATTCGATGAGGTCAAAGCTGCCGAGAAGTCGAACACGAAAGTATCTCTGAAGGGTTTGGAGGATCAGGCGGGAGATGCTAACGTTGACCTTGGAATCTCTGATGGCTTGGGATCGCAGGGCATCGCCGAGTACATGAGCAGCTGTGAACTTAGCCAAGATTCGGTCAAGGCTCTCTGTCTACTCCCGAAAGCTCCAAATACGCGTGTTTTGAGCTGGTGTATTTTGAAGAACCAAGTTTTTCCGTGGTAAACAAGCATGACAAAAAGCCCGTGTTCCGTGGGGAGATTTGGACATGGGGGACACTGCGATTCCCACAAGAGCTAGTTTCTCACGGCCTCCAGAGACATGTTTGCAACTTTCATGGCTCTGCTACCCGATGACTTCTGCTTTGGCCTGAGGCTACTTGAATTTGCCGGACGCAGATTCCAACCTTATCCCTACCCCGCTGAGACTCTTCGTCTCAGAGGCTGGGTCCCATCCAACAGCTCCGTCGTGAGAGTTGCATTGCATCGGCCGAGGTCACCTTGGGGAATCCACTTTATATCCGCGAGACCATTGATCAATTGCGAGAGCACCACATCCAGGCCGGGACAGTTGCGACTTCGTGAAGGTTCCTTTCAAAGGTGTCCGTCATTTCTGGTGAGTGAAATATTATCATTTACCCAGATATTGTGTCTTTCTTTGAGGGTGCAGGTCCTTTTGGGTGTTGTTGACGGGAAACTAGAGGGTCTTGGGCGTTCCCAGATGTTGAGACAAACCTCAAGGTCACCCTGCACTGTACAGGTCAACGAAGGCGCTGGAGGGCAGGTGAAAAACGTGGAGTGCAAGGACTGGGTGAGCTGTGGCTTCTCAAAGGCCTTTCGTGTGGGTTTTGGTGCTGGATTCGTTCTGTCTGTTGATGGACTGTGAAGAGGAGAGGTTTCCCGGGTTTCTCATGGTTTCTGCGTTTGCGTGTGTGCTTTGGGCCCCCCCCCCAAAAAAAAGAGAGGGTGGTTTCCCTCCTGGTTCCATTTAAACTCCCTTTAGAAGGGTACCCTCCTGCATCTGATCCTGCGGGGATGTGTCAAAAAGATGAGACCCCCAGAAACTTTGGTCTCGAAAATGGTGACTTTCCTTTTGGTCTCCCTTTAAACCAAGGTCAACAGAGTCCCCTAAAACGACGGTTGGGCTTCCTTTCGGTTTTGTACCCATTTGCTTTTTGAGAAAATGGATCCGTAGCAGTGGCAAGGACATTGACAAAGTCAACGTCTCGCAATGGGGCCACACGGCCATGATCGGCAACACGGTCTGCGCGCTGGAAGCCTTGGACCCCTTGGAGGTGCCAAAATCGACGAATCAGCGAATCGGCGAGACGCGGATGCCCACCTCCTACTCCAAATACCCGCTTGTTTGTGGTATTTTTTGCAAAACCTGGTTTTCCAGGGTGGATACCTCCTTTCTAGTGAAGCAAGTGGGTATTGGGTGTAGGAGGCAGGATTTGGTTTCCCAAGCGGGGGAATATCAACCCCTCGGTAGCTGTGTCCTAGTCAGAAAATGCAGAACATGGAATGGGTGCGACTGTTGGGAGTTCTTTGTTTGGTGAAGGACACCAAAAGGACACACTCAAATGAGGCGTGCTGCTCCCATAGAGCAAAAGGCAGAATTTTCGAACAGGAACAAGGCTTACAGGGTTTACAAGGCTTGGTTTGGTTTGTAGATCAATGGCTGTGAAATGGGCCCAACATAGAAAAAGGTCACACACACACACACACAAGCACTGCTGGTTGAGGCTTGGTTTGTGGACGGAAGCTTTCGGAATAGGTTGGAGTTGAGTCGATTTTGCATCTTCGCGAAATCGGACATCGCCTGCGGTTCAGCCGATGGGTCATGAACCACAACAATTGGGTGTGCCTTTTATTGAGTTGGTCCCCGTTTTGTGTGGTTTTAAAGGGGAATCCGCCATTTTGGGGGTCCGAAATCTAAGAAAGTCAGCCGTGAGGCTGCGGTGCTGAAGATGAGCACCTGCTTCATGGGCCCCTTTACCTTGGGGGACCTGGCCGCCAGCACTTCTTCCAGGCGCGGGCATGCGGGTTGTTCCGATTCAGAGCCGGGATTCGAAGCACGGAAAATAGGCCACCCCGAAGCTTGGGCCCTCAGAAAGGCCCGTTTTGAGGTGGAGGTTCGACTGATGCTTGGGGCAAAAGGTAAGTTTTGTGATGTCGCAATCGGGGATTTGAGCCGGTCGACCCCAGATGGGTGGCTTTCCTTTTCGGTTTCCTTCAAAATCGGGCACCGGCCTCAAAAAAACCTGCTCGCTTCTCGCTTCTCGCCTGACTCGGCTGACGCGCAACTCGTAGGTGGGCGGAGTCCACGCATTTCGATTTCCTGCGCCTCTTCCAGGCTCGTGGGACCGTTCAGAATTTGTCGTCTAAATTGGGTCTCTTGCTTGCCCTTCTTTTCATGGGGGTTGAATCCTTGGGAATTGATTGGTCTCCCTAAACAGTCTCCTTTTGGTTTCCCTTTAGGCGCCAATAATGTCCATTTCGAGAAACTCTGTTGACATTGAGTTAGCAGACTCATCTCATCTACCTTGGTAATTAAAAGATCGAACCCGTTCAACAGGTTCTACTTCACCCTTTAAAGACAGTGTTTGCAGTATCCTACCCGTTTGGAAATCATGGCTCACTATTTTCCATGCCACGAGGCCATTCGAAAGCTAGAGCACTACGAAATGCTGTCGTCCGTCGACCCGCCCAGCGAAGGGAGGCACGCTGCACAGCCGCGTGCTTGCCACACAGGAATCCTTACCCCCGAAAGCTCCAAATACCAGTCTTTTTCTGGCATTAAAGCAAACAACAACCTGGTAAATACCTCTTTTTGTTGTCAAGAAAATGACGGGTCTTTGGAGTAGGGGGTATATGAGTTCCACTTATGGCGGTTTCAAACATCACCTTTTGGTTGCCATTGTTGAGCGAGTTTCTTTGTGGGATGATTTTGATACGTTGGACATAGCGGAGCTGATTGCAATCCGCCGCCGGGCTTCGCTCCGTGGCTTTGCAGCGGCCGCTTCCATGAAGAAAGGATGTCATGGAACGCATGGAAGGCTCAAGCCATTCTCGAAATGAAGGTCCAGTATCATCCAAGAAACACTTTGTGTCACGCAAGAAAATCGCGGACTGACTGAGCAAGCCTATGCCTGCGCTGCGCCCGTGCGCTATGTGCAGAGCGTGAGGTGCCCAAGGCAAGGTGGCCTTGTCGTGGCGTGACGTGTTACCGTCTGGATGGCACGTGGCATTTGGTTTCCCTTCAGCACTTTGGAGCAGGGTTAACCCCCGGTCGATTGACGTGAGGCACCAATCCTGCAGGTTTCCCCTGAAAAGTGGTTGGTTTCCCGTTGACTTGGCTGCGGCGTTCAGATCATGAACTTCGTTCGGGCTGAAACCATCGTGCAGGAGATCACTGCCGCGACCCAAGGATGAGAATTCGAGTCGAGCAGATGGGCAGGGCTCGTAGTAGGAATCGGACCCTCAGAATGGGTGTACGTGTGTACGGTGTGTGTCTTTTTTCCCAACAGCTGAAAGCTGTGGGCTCTCAGCCCAGATAGGCTCCGGGGTGTCTGGGGCGGCCCTGAGGTAAGGTTCCACGAAGGTTCCACCAGGGTTCCACCAGGGTTCCACGAGTGTTCCACGAGTGTTCCACGAGGTTCTGCGAGGGCTGCGGTGGTTCCACAGCGTTCCACCCGCATTCTGCAAGGGTTCTGCAAGGGTTTTACAAGGGTTCCACGGTTTCACGAGGGCTATGGGGTGGGTGGTCTTGAGGCAAGGTTCCACAAGAGTCCCAACAACGCTGCAAAACCGGCCCGGTGGATTGGTAGCTTGTGCGCTATGATTGGTGGCTTGTGGTTTGCTCTGCGAGCACCGATTGCACCGTCGAAGCGGCATGCTAAGCAAAACCGGGGGTGCGCTATGATTGGTGGCTTGGATCGGTCGTTTGCTTCCCGGGCTGCGGTCGGGCCCGAGCACAAAAAGAGCACCACATGCTGTTGGGATATCACCTCAGCTTCTTGAAGCCAAGAGGGCATTTGCAATTTGTGTGGTCTCCATCAAGCCAACCAAAAAAGAGTACTCATCCTCAGCAAAAACACGAAGCCCGATGTCATCTGAGCGAAACCAATTCGGGTAGAAGGTTAGGAAGCGGTCCCAGCTGGGTGCGGATATTAAGAAGCCTCGTTTGCTTTCTTCACCCTGGGTTTTGGGCAAATTGTTTGAGGTTTTGGTTGTGGTGTTCTCTTGGGAGGATCATTGCAAGGTTTTTATTGGCTTGAGGATGATGGCAAAGTTCGAGACATCATCACGCAAGTGAGGAAGTCGGAGGCCCGGCGGTGCCCCGGATGACTATTTTTTTGGATGGGTTGGTTTGGGGATTTGAACCCCTGGTTCTTGTAGAGGGCAAGTGGGAAATCATCCCCCAAGCTACAAATCAATCAAAGCCACCAACTGGGGGGAAACTAATAACTGGTGCTTCGGATTGGTGGTTTGGAGAAGGTACCCTCTACTGTAGCGTCCAACCAGCAAACCAAAACACCAATTAGGAGTAATTTGCTTTTACATATGGTGGTTTCCCACGCAACCGCTTCCGAGGAGACCTACTTGATGGAAACCACCATCTGCACCTGGTTGCTTTTTTTGTGAACAGTCACGCGCGCAGGCGGAACAAGATGCCGAGCGCCAAGAGGCAATACTTCGAAGTTTGCGTTGGTCTTAGAGCTCGCTTTGAGGCAGGTGCCCGTGAGGGTCGTTTCAAAGGAACGCAATGACAGGTGCGTGTCATTCTACCCATTGGCTGGACGCCCTTTAGTATGGCTCGTTGAAAGAGGGATTCGGACCCCCAAAATGATTGGGTTCCTTATGGCTTTCCTTTAAACCAATTTCAAAAGGGTATCCTCAAAAAAGCAAGCCCATTCAGAGTCCCCTGAAATTGCCATGATCCTACGGATCGCGATTCAACGAAAGGCCAACAACCTGAGGCCAGAGTTCAAGCGTGACGGGCATTCCGCAGCTGACGCGAAAGCTGACGCGAAAGCCGCCGAAGCCGCCAATGAACAGCAGGAGAAGGAGAATTGGCTGAAACGCCCAAAAGGGGTTGTTTTATTTGAGGATACCCGTTTGAGGGAAACCACCCAAGAAAGGGTACCAACTAAGAAAAATAACTCCTTGTCAGCCTATGGGTGTCGATCTCTCTGATTCGGGGATGCGTGTACAATGACGGAAATCGACGTTTAGGTCGATTTGAGCTGATGCCAAGCATCGGGGATGCTGGAGATGCACTCGCACTTTTTTTTTGAGGTCTGATTCTGGCAGTTTTATGGTCGCGAGCGCCCGTCGCGGATGATGCAGCGGTAGCTGGAGATGCGGAGATGCTGGCTGGGGATGCCGGAAATGTTGGCGGGTGATCCCAGGGATGTTGGCCCCAGACCCCAACTCCACCCCACCACCCCACCACTCCAACCCACGCGCGGAGCAAAAAGACCTGCGCGTCTGTCTTCCCTTGTACCCCTCCGCTTTCCTGTTTTTCCGTACTGGTTTGCAGATTGGAATTTGCCCGTGGGATGCTCAGACGCTTCCAAATGGAATATGGCTTGCGCTAATCTCAATGGAGCTAGCTGGCAGCATTGTTTTTCACGCCTGGCGTTTCGAAGGATGAGGCAAAAGAGTACAACGTTCACACCATCGACGAGGCCGAGTCGCATGCGTGTTGTTTTTGTCGTGTTGTTTTTGTCAGTTTGCTTTGATCAGGCGGAGTTTGAGCATTATCAGAAGATTGAAGATGCAGAGCGCGAGAAGAAGCGCAAGCTCAAGTCTCAGGACTGAAACAGGCTCGTTTCTCCGCCTTAAAACCGGCAGCGTCAACCGTGGCACATTCTCTGCAGCACTGGAAATGGGGGTCCTGGTTTATGCTTGATGCGTCAGGACGCCGAAGCTGTGGCCATGTTTGAAACCGAGCGAAAGCGACTGCGGGAGGACGTGATGAGACCCGCCCGGATTCTACGAGCCACGGTCAAAGATAGGGAATGTTTCCACAAGGTTTGTGGGAAACATCGTGAGTCCCAGGTTTTTATTCTAAACATGAGTTCCCTCATGCCTCTCCCATTTTTTCACCATAGACTGCTGGTATGTCTTCCCCGAACCTCCTGCCAGGATGAGGAAGAAAAGAAGCCAGATCTCATATCCATCATGAGGCCGCTTGTTGCAGAGAATCCTCCGGTGGATGCCCAAGATATTGAACACAAAAACCACGAGCCCTGGTAAACTACGGCAAATGAGAGAGTTTCTTGGTTCCCATACTTGCAATATTGAGGGCATCCACCGCAACTATGGCCGCTTTTTGCAGTGTAGCAAGTGTGGATGGACAAAAAACATGGCAGGCACCAGTTTGGATGAAGCCCTATAAATAACATACGTTTGAAATTATGGGATAAGCCACCAGGCCAACTGGTGCCGATCGGCACGGAATTTGTCCATCCACATGGCTGCCTTTCTCCAGTCTGAGAATCCTGCGAGGGGTTTCGATCTTGGAAGGCAGCAGAACCTGGAAAAGTCGGAGAAGAGAAACAAGGCGACGTGACAAATGCAGGTCGGACAGACCTCACGTCAGCCTCAAGCTAGAGCAAAATGTCTATGAATCTATGAAGGATACGTTTGGGCCAGTTCAGGGGGAAACAATCATTTACCAGCCCTTGAAGGAACCCTGCCCCAGTCTTACCTGGTGTTGCCCTATTACCGTCGCTCAGGCAGCCCCGACCCCGCATGAACGCTTGAAGGGCAAGATCAAGGTGAAGGCTGGGTATTCGTCAAAAAAGGGATTTGGAGCCCCAAAAGCTGTGACTTTCACTTCCCTTTTGGTTTCCCTGACTGAGCTGGAAAGGGTACGGAGCTTCTAAAGGCCACACCCAGTCGACGTCAGACTTCCCGATCCAAAGCAGGGTTCGAATCGGGAAATGCAGCTGGGGAACCCGAGCTCAACGGGTTCCTTTTTATTATTATTTAAGAACAGGGAACCACTTGAAAAAAGTGGTTGGTGGACATGAACCCCCCACCGAATTCTGATGTCCACCATGTGGTCCGTAGTTAAACTTGACCCCGCTGGCATCCGACTTCGGAACCTTGTGATGGACCCCGGCGTCCAATCCCTTGTCGTTTGGCGCCCTTCGAAATTTGGAAGCACCCCAACTATTAAAGCCGGGGCTCAAAAGGAAAAGAGGAAAGCTGATCCCCAATTTGGGGGGTACCCTACGCCGAAATGGATCCATCCGAGGCCCATGGAGAGGCTGCAAAGCCAGAGCCGAAGCCGATGAGTGCCCTGGCAGGCGGGATGGAGCTTCACGATCGCGGTCCAAAGGTTTCTGGGTGGCTCGTCTTTTGTGGAGTTGGTGCCTGTTCTTTTTTTGTAGTTTTAAAGGGGAATGAAGGGGACAACCACGTTTTTTGTGTGTGCCCAAATCCTATTAAAAGAAGACGCGCTCAAATCTGGGTCCCAAGTGGCAAGCAATGCATTTGAGGGACCCGTTCTCAAAAATGTTTTGGAGGCTTCCCTTTAAACCACCATGGTTTCCGATTTTGAGGATGTCACGAGAATGGAATTGGGTGCGGGGATAGGTTCTGGAAGTTGTGACCCGCCTCCCCCCGACACGTTGGACATGTGACAGACTTGTTTGCCAGGCTACGGCTCAGACTCGGGGAGCGAGTGACACGAGCGAATAAAAGGGATGCTGTGCGCTGCAATCTGCATCAGTGGACAGGGCTTTCAGTATTCCCCCTTTTTGGTGAGTTTGAAGCCATTCGGTTGCGGTGAGAGAGCTGTTTGAGCCTTGAGTATCGTGCAGGGGACAAGCATCATCAAGTTCCAGGAGACCAGAATGCAACCAAACACATGGTGCAGACTGCAATTCATGATCATTGGTTTTGAAGGGACACCACCCATTTTTTGGGAGGTCCGACTCCCTAGTTTGACGAGTTATGCCCGGATATGGGGGCGCACCCACCAAATGGCGGTTTTCCTCCTTTAAAACCACCAAAAAGGTACCCTCAAAACCACGCATATTTCTACGCATATGCATATATATACATATATATATATACACCTATTGTGTGTTCCATCCATCCAAACTGACGTTTGGCTCGTTCGACAAGTCGAGCTGAGCGGGGCGAACGACGTTAGGAAGCTCCAGCACTTCCAGACGCAGAACGTGCTCATCAAGTCTGTGGGAGGTGCCATGCTTTTGGAGGCCAGGCGTCGAACGACTGAAGTTTTTAGTCATACTGACTGATGCCCACCCCTCGATGCATCAACCACCCCTTTGTTTTTTCATACAATCTTTTGTAGTAATTGCCTCCTGCTTTAGTCACGGGTTTTCGGGAGGCAGCAAAAGCAGCCCTACCCTCCTCAGCGTGAAATACGCAGCATTGTGTGTAGTTTGGATGTTGTGAAAACGCGTTATTTTCCCTCAATAGTAAACCTACTTTTTGAAGTCAGGGGTTGACATCATAGCCAGCCTGGAAAGAGTGGGTGTTTGACGTTGGGGGTGTGTACTAGCTGGTTAGTCGCGTAGGGTTCGCAACCCGCGTGCTTTTGGCTCGGCCAACAGGCAACAACCATCCACAACCGCCTGTCAGGTGCAATGTCCAATAGCAGGATTGGGAAATGGGTCGTTTTTGGTACCCATCTTTTGGCTTGGTTTAAAGGGAAAGAAAAAGGACAACCAAGACTCTTGGATTCCCCTATTTTGAGACAAAGCAAAATTATATAAGTCTTACTTCAATGTAGCAAACATGAGCATCGCCATGGATCATGCTGATGTGAGTCGCGGACAACGATTGTAGTAGAAGACATGGTAGCAGAAGTACTTGTCGTGGCAATAGTGGAAGTGGTAGTGGTAGCGGTAGTGGGAGTGGGAGTGGTAGTTCTAGTAGTAGCAGTAGTCCTATTGGTATTGGTAGTGGTAGTTCTAGCAGTAGTAGTAGTAGCAGCAGCAGCAGCAGCAGCAGCCGCACCAGTAGCAGTGGCAGTAGCATTAGCAGTACCACAGGCAGTAGCAGTAGCAGTGGTAGTGGTAGTGGCAGTAGCAGTAGGTAGCAGTAGCACTAGCAGCAGCACTAGCAGCACTAGCAGAAGCAGCAGCAGCTTCAGCAGCAGCAGCAGCAGGAGGAGTAGTAGTCGTCGTCGTTGTCGTCGTCGTCCTCGTCGTCGTACTACACTAGTTGTAGTTTAGTTGTAGTAGTGGTACTAGCAGTAGTGTTGGTGTTGGTGGTGGTGGTTGAGACTGGGCAAGACAGGTAAACAGAAGAAACAAGTTTTGTCGGAGATGCCGTGTGCCGGTGGAATGGGTTCTAATTGCGCCATCTTTCCGTTGCCTGGGTGATGGGCTGTTGCTTCTAAGTTTTTCGTTGTGCATGGCCAAATGTCGGCCAACTTGAGAGCCTTTGACATGCCAGGCCCAGAAGAAATCGGTCAAGCGTCAGGCAGGATCGAGCCAGGCTTTGTTTTTGCAAGACCTTTGCTTATGCCCAGGCGCTCATTGATCGGGCCCTCTACCGCGACTTGCCGACCCGCATGAAGGATCTAGCGGAGAAGCGGGCGAAGCCCCACATACCATGGTTCGCGGCTCACTTGTGCGTGAGAGCAACAGCAAAATATGCGAAGCGAAGGTTTGTAAGGGACAGTCCCCATCCACCATAAAGTACGGCCGCCCTTTGTTTGGGCTAGGGTATGATTGACTCATATATGAGGGTGTGTCAAGCTTTGGGCTGGGAACCGATTTGTGGAGCTTCCATGTGCCCAGGTATTATGAGCAAGCCTTCCGAAGAATGCAAACATAGGCTGATGCAAGGTCAGGACCTTGGAATTCATTTGCAGCGATTCTCTCAGTCCGAATTGCGTGCTTCAGTTTTGCTTGCTGGCTGTGCGCTGGCACCGAGAGGTGCACACACGACACTTTGGCTGGTGGCTCCCATTCTGCCACCTTGAACATGACACATTCTTGTTGCAATTCCCAGCCGCCACGATCTCCAACTGCGAAAATAGGCGGACCGCAAAAACGGATGTCAGTTTTCCTTCTGGTTTTTCTTTAAACCCAAACAAATCTTTGAACGGGATACCCTCACAAAATCACACCCAAACGGTGCGCCGCTTCTGGGGCACGATTCCCCCGCCCGCATTGCGGGTATGCTGCACGGGCATCAAGACTCGCTTTTCAATTGGACATTTGATGTGCAGGCGACATTTGAGTTTCAGCCAAGAGTTTTGTGCAGGCGACAGTTTCACGGTGTCTCCAAAACAGGCCGGGGCAGAGTCGGAGACACTGAATTCCAATGAGCTTGGAGCGTAGCTTTGATTGAACTGATTGTCAGGAGACAAAAATTGGCTGCCACAGGCCGGCAATTGTGTGATGCTCAGCCTTCTGATATGCCGCTTTCAATGTTGTAGGCGAGTATGTCCGTCGCAAGCTGCAAGAATTGCGAATTTGAGGTGCATTGTCAGGAGTGCGGCACCCGGACAAGAAGGATGCAATGAGCATGAATTTTCTGCACTCTCAAAGAGACAGAGCAGAAATTATGTATCTTGGGCCTGAGCCGAAAAACCATCACCCGTCTAAGATTCAGATTTCGATTGCAGCACCGATTCAGTTGGCTCAGCTTTCCCAACCATCTCGGCGTTTCATGGAAAGCTATGTACAGCTACGTGGAAAAGGACATGATGATGGGCGTATGTGCTTGGCTCTATTGTGGATGTGTGTTTGACGGAGTACCCTCGGACATAGATTCCCACAGAACTCTGTCCACCATTGTGGGCCCTTAGAATTCAGACTCATGCGGGCCTCAGAGGGTCTGCCCAGTGCCCGTGCGATGCCAGGCGAATTTTCCAGGGCAACCAGGAGAGGGTTGTGCAGGCGCCTTCACCGCAGGACAAACATGGGTTTTGTTTTTGGATGCCCGTTTCCACCCTGTTGTAGCAAGGGAAACTAAAAGGGAAACCAACATATGTTTTCCCTTTTTTGGTTTTGACACATGCCCAGTTTTCAAATGTTTCTCAAAGCCACGATCCTTGCAGGTCCGCAAGAAGTGAGAGAGCCAGATGGAGGTTCACTCCTTGCCACGGTGGCCAGAGGCACTGCACATACTCGGTCAGATTGGGTTCCCTTTTCTAGAGCTCCAGTTCCTATTTTGAGAAACACAGATCGGCCGTACATTTAAATTTGTTTGCCATAGTTGCATTGCATATACATTATTTGTACATGTGCACATGTCCGGCCGTGGCACAGTAGAGTGCATTGGTCTGGAAGGCCTTTGGCAGCACGTAGTTGCGGAAGGTCCAAAACGCAGGAGCTGCGCCAGACACAAGTGTGTGTGTGTGTGTGTCTTTTGTGTTTTTGGTGGCTTTGAAGAGAGACCAAAGGGAATACTCATTGTTGGGGGTCCCCTAAGACCGACACACCCAAGTGCCAGATGCAACAACTGGCTGCAGCATGGCTTATTGGCCTCACATGTTCTGCAGCTAAAAACAGGCTGTGAGCCGCTGCGAGCTGAGGGTCAGAAAAAGAGCTATATGGGTTTGTGGCATAAATGAGTTGACCCCCGAGCGTGGTCGCTTTCCTTTTTGTTTCCCAACCAAGCAACAGAAAGGTACCCTCAAACAAGCAAACAAAGAAACAAACAGCCACACACACACACCCATATTAATGTCAGCAACTGACAGACAGTATTGGTCGACTACTTTTGGTGA